GGAATTCAAAAGTTTGTCTAAATATATAGTCATACTGACTTCATTTAGCTGTGCTTTAAAATGCTTTAGGTAAATAAGGTCAAAAGACTAAGTAGACACTCTTCTTTTGCTATAAACCATGCTTGGAGTTCAAATATTTGGAAATAAATTTGAAACTAACCAGCAAACATATGGTTCTACACCAAAGGAAGAATTGCAGAAGAACAAAGGCATGAATGGAGAGGGACGAGGAGAGCAGAGCCAGTGAAAACAGGAGGGGAAAATTATCAAAGGAAGAGTCTTGATTTGTCTTCTTTAGTGATAGATTGGATCATCCTTTCTAGCCCCATTGTCCCTGTTTTGGAGGTTTTGCAAGAGAAACTGGAGATATTTAAACAGTAATGACATGGCTTTCCTGTGCTAGACCCAGAGGAGACAGGCACAGCTCAGCAGAACTCTGAGAATACACGAAGAACTGAATACTAGCAAGTATGCTATTGTGTTCTGCCACTTCAGGGCCATGCAAACAGAGCTGCAGCTCTGGCACTGTCAGTGGGATTTCAACCTAAAATCTTCTACCTTGCTAGTGGGGAGAGAGAAATGCAGCAGTAATGATGAGCTAAGCCTTCCAGTTTGCCTTGTTAGACAACTGTTATCTTGTACAGAATCACAGAATGGTTCAGGTTGGAAGGGACCACAGAGGGTCATTTGGTCCCATCTCCCTGCTCAAGCAGGATCATACCAGAGCACATGGCACAGGATTGTGTCCAACCAAGTTTCTTTTGAGGTCTCAGGAAGTTATTCTTTCTTCTTCATTTACACACCTGACACAAATCCTGGGAGTAGCCAGGTACCCTGGATACAAATATTCCTGTCTGAGCTGTTTGCTGGAGTCAGGATCTGAATTTTCCATTTTGATCCTATGCTTCAAGTGTAAATGTGGGATTCAAACAATGGAGTTTTAAAGGAATCCAGAAGCAAGATGTGAATTCAGCTGTTAATATTTCAGCCATCTCTCCTGCCAATGCAGGCCATTCCTTTATTTCTCCTTGGTGATTCTCTCCCATGGATGCTCAAGTGTGTGACAGATAGGTGTCGATATCCTTCCTCTTACAGAGTAACTTTGATTAAGGGATGTGGCCAAGATCATCAAGAAAGTCACAGGGAAATTTAAAAATAGAGCCTGATTTTCCCAGGTCACACTGGATTTCCATGGGGAACCACTGGGAACATGTGAGAAATGCAACTGACAGGAAGAGAGCAGAAAATAACCATTTATGAATACCTTCAGTAACTCCCAAGCCAGTGTTGGTATTGCTCTAGCTGTGCACAGTGCCAGCCTGTCAGCAATACTTCACTCACTCAGTTCCTAACACTGCTTGTAATTTAAGTAACCTATACCAACTTTTAATTACATTCCTGTGTAACACAACTCATGGTGCTTTGTCCTTGAGGGAGGTGTATGGTCTGGTAGTTGTAAAGACTTGAGAATTAATTACAAAGGACACAGGTTTTGAGTTCCTCTGGGTACCTGCTCAGCTGTGTAACCTTGGGGCAAATCACTCAACTGCTTTGTGCCCAAGTAAACCCAGCTGTAAACCATCTTGAAAACCAGGTGATGTGCAAGATTTAAAATTCTCAGGAGAATGAAAAGGGGTGGAGAAATAAAGAATGCATAAAGAAGGAATTCTACAGCTCATTGGTGTTGGTATTGCTTCCAATGGAGGTAGTCTGGACTAAACCAATATAACTGAGAAAATAATTTTCTTTGATAGCCAAAAATACCCCGCACTCTCAAATCTTTGTTTTTCCTTTCCTCTCTTGACTTGATGTCAAATACCTTCTTTCCAGAGTGTTAGTTTAAACCTTCAGTAGAATCCATGTTTTTCCCTGGCAGCCTGAAGTTTCTAATTCAGGATCAAGTTCTACATGACTAAACTTTGATATTTTACATGATTATATTTAGGCACTTAACTCTATAGCATTCTTTTCTCCTTGCTTTTCATGCTACCATTCTTCCTGCTCAGCCTTGCCTTAGTGACACCCCAAATAAAACTGCTGAGCTTTACCACCTTCTGTAGATGCTATGTCCTGCCTGAAAACCAGGATCAAAGCCACTACAGGATTTGTATCGCTGGTCAATGAACAAAGGAAATACTAAAGTGTCTGTAGCAGAATAAATGTTTGCCACATGTTAGGATTTAAGGAAGACTTAAATGTTTCAGTATTTTTTGGCTTCAGCTAAAATGGAGATTTTATTCCCCACAGGAATGTGGGAATAGTTACTTACGTAAGGAATACTTGTGTATGCTTCCAAAGCAGAGTGTATTTGGTTATGAGAATGTAAACCAATATATTTTTAGTGTAAACAAGGAACATTAAAAGATGTGAGATGTAAAGGAGCCATTTTATACACTACTCAGGAAATACCTTGCATGTTTTTATTAATCACTATTGAAAATCAAACATTGACAGGTTTGAAATTTGGTGAATTTTTCCTCCCAAATAAGAAAGGCTGAGAGCTGAAAGAGTAAGTTACAAGCAAATAGAACAAGCCAGAGCACCTCATTATCTGAGGCTCTTATGAAAACAAATGTCAGCAAACTGTCTTCAGCAAATTTAACCCTTTTATACAGTACTGGGATGGTAAAATTGTTAATTGCTCTTCAAGATTGGTGATCATTCTTCCAATATAAAAATATTTCAGTCTGTGTTTCCCTTGCAAACTGCTCTATTTCATCTTATTGAATCTTTAGAGATAGTATTTGACCTATTGATTTTTTAGATTCAATATTAGAGCTATGCTATCAGTAATTTAAAATATTGAAATTCCTTGCCATAAATGCCATACTGAAGTGCCTGTGATGATTAATGACACCATTCAAACATCAAACTGTCAATTAACCATTAGCCAAAATAGAAATCCCCTGATATTGTTTGAATCCCTGTTTGGATAGTCTAACTTTGTTTTTCCCCTTCTCCTACTACTTGAAACTGATTTTAAAAACAGGTGCAGGTTTTTTTGTGGGAATAAAAGAATTTTAAATTAATCAAAACACAAGAGATTCTCAGATGACCAACTGTGGAAAACAATAAATAAAACAGAGTGAGCTGTAAATAAAGCACATCCAGGTGAAAAGGAAAATCATGGCTAGAGTTGTCTAATATAGGGACACAAAAATACAACATATATTTTCAAGCCCTGACCTATACAAATACTCATTAGACTCAATTTACATTTTTGCTACTCATAATGAGTACAAGGTTGATTTTGCTCAGTATTGCCAGCTGAAACTGCAGCTGGGAGGGCTTTCTATATCCCTCAAACTAGGGTTTTCCCTTTTCTGTCCCTAAGTAAAAGTCATTGAGATTTACTTCATTTAATGGTCCTGTGAATTGCTCATATGGTCAGCTGGAAGAGAATACTGTTGTATCATGAGTCTACGTGGTCCAACCCCATTTCATCCCACTCTCATTGAGAACAGAATGATGGATGCTCCATGTTGTTGTTGTTGATATCATACCCCAGACCAGCTCCAGGATCCAGCTTCAAACCCCTTTGTACATGCTGAGATGCAGCACAGCAATGTGTACTGCCAGGCTGCTGACTGGGATGCTCTGTCAGGTATTCACTGGAGTCTGCTCTTAAGGCAAACAACAAAATTATGAATTCCCAAAGCCAAAAATTTCAGGCATCATAAAACTTTTTCTTTAACAAAAACCAAAATCTAAAATGAAACCCTAGGGAATTAAATATAGAATCATAGAATGTTAAGGGGTTGGAATGGACCTTAGAGATCATACTTTAGTGAAGGTGTTGTTGCTTTAAAACAGCATCTCGAACTACTCTAACTAGTTTGGGAAAAAAAAAAAAGAAATAGTTTTAGGTCACCTCCTTACTCTTGATCAATACAATCCATTTTGGGCAGGTTTTAAACCACTGATCTATTTGCCCCTCTCGTTGCCATGTAGGAAACCTTCAGAAAAGTGAGAAGTATATGACTGAGAAACCGACTACAGAATGCTGATACAAGTATGTATTTTGCCCAAGTAATCACTTTCAGAAACAGTCAACATGCTTTTAGAGGAAAATAATCTGAAAAAAATTGTGATTTAAAAAAAATCTCCCTTTAAAGAGAACTGTAAGACTAACAGTGGCATATGAACAAATCTCTCCCCAAGTTGCTAAGAACACTTTCTAAACTGTAATTCAAAAACTTGCAATTAGTATTTTTCACTATTTATGCTCTTCATTTACTTTTTGCTTTTTTCTTCCAGTCTTGCAACTAAGCAAATCTGGTACATTTTACTTGCTCAGTACAGCTCATGTTACCCTTTTCGTGTTTTGCTGCAGTCCATTGCCTGTGTTTGGGAATACAACCATCCCCAGGAGAAGTCACATCTCTCAAAAGTAGGATTTCATTATTTTTCCTATTAAAATCCACATTTTAAACCTAAACTATCTGGCTGTGTCCCTTTCAAAAACGAAATAATTTGGGACAGTCTATTTTTTAAACCACGTTTTCTAAATTCTTGCCCCAAGGAGCAAATTGTGTAAGTTCGTTTGCTGAATGAGCAAAGGGGTTTGAAGGAAGACATAAAGACAATGAAAGAGCCTCTCACACAACCTGATTTCTGAATTTCAGCCATGCCATTATTATTATTTAAAAGCTTATTGCTTTTTTTCAGGGCTGTGGAAAACAAGTTGGGTTTTTTTCACAGTATGTTAAGGGGTTGGAATGGACCTCAGAGATCACCTAGTCCCAACCCCCTGTCCTGGGCAGGGACACCTCCCACCAGACCAGGTTGCTCAAGGCCTTGTCCAACCTGGGTTTGAACACTGCCAGGGCTGAGGCATACACAGCCTCCCTGGGCAACCTGTGCCAGTGTCTCACCACCCTCACAGGAAAAAACTTCTTCCCAATATCTAATCTAAATTTCCCCTCTTTCATTTTATACCTATTGCTCCTTGTCTTATTACTACAGTTCCTAACAAAATGTCCCTCTCCAGCTTCAAGTTCTGTTGGCTCCATCAAAGTGGAGTGGCAGATTTCCCTTTGGAAGTCAGAGCCTGTTTCAAACGTCTCTTTAAGTCCTGCATATTTGGTGACTTGGGCCGGACAAGGTGGAGGCCTCTTCGTTTCTCCCCGTTGCAGCTCCCAATCATCCTGCTGACCTCCTGGCACAGCTGCTGGAAGGCTTCATGCACCCCCTCACAGTTCTCCCGGGCTGAGACTTCATAGTAAGTTCCTCCCAGCTCACCAGCCAGCTGGAGTCCTTCTTTGGAGGACACCTGCCTGGCTCGCAGGAGGTCTCCCTTGTTGGCCATGAGGAGCAGTGGGATGTTGGCATTGGGATGGATCTTGCGGATGTGCTGGTGCAGGGGACGGATCACTCGGTAGCTCTCGTAGTCTGTGATGGAGTACACAAAAACGAAGCCATCTGCCCAGTAGATTGAGCGGTTTATCTGCTCTTGGCAGCAGATGCTGTCAGTGTCATCCTGCCCACAAAACAAGAGGGGTGAGATTGGGAAACTCAGAACAGGGAGCAGAGAGAGCAAACAGTCACACAGCACTGACAATACTGGGAGCTTTGTTTTCAGGTGGGGCTGTTTCTCAATAGACAGGCAGAAACCTCCCTGAATGTCCCAGGGACAGGAGAATTTCTCACTGTATCAGGAACATATTGCAGGGAAGCAATGATGTGGAGAGGGGTCAGAGCAAATTGGTTAAAAATTTTGTTTAAAAACTGCATCCAGTTCTGGTGTCCCCAACATAACAAGGACATGGAACTGTTGGAGCAAGGCCAGAGGAGGCCAGGAAGCTGATAAGAGGACTGGAGCACCTTCCCTACAAAGACAGAATGAGAAAGTTGGGGCTGTTCAGCCTGGAGAAGAGAAGGTTGTGTGGAGACCTCAGAGCAACCTTCCAGGATCTGAAGGGGCTCCAGGGAAGCTGGAGAGAGACTCCTGGTTAGGAACTGCAGTGACAGGACAAGGAGTAATAGGTATAAATTGAAAGAGGTAAACTTTAGATTAGATATTAGGAAGAAGTTTTTTCCTACGTGGGTGGTGAGACACTGGCACAGGTTGCCCAGGGAGGCTGTGGCTGCCTCAACCCAGGCAGTGTTCAAAGCCAGGTTGGATAAAGCCTTGAGCAACCTGATGTGGTGAGAGATGTCCCTGCCCAGGGCAGAGGGTTGGGACTAGATGATCTCTAAGGTCCATTCCAACCCCTTAACATACTATAAACTATGACAAGAAGAGAACAGGCAAAATATTGCTATTGAAAAATTTGTTCTGTATTCTATTAAACCAGTCAGAAAGTCATGCTTTCATAAAACCCACCAGGCTTATCACACTACTGCAAGTGAAGAGCTGTCCCCCAAGGTGGTTTTTTAGGGCTTTTTTCCAATTCTTTATTCAATGTCTCCATGGACAGAAGTTCTCACTAACTCTGGTGAAACCTGACAGATGTTCCTGCCATTCAGCTCTCCAGACAGTCAAAGGCAAATTTCCTTGGAAAAAGCAATCTGTTACAAAGAACCAATTACTGGAACTGAAAATGAGGTGAAATCTCATTGGTAATTTGTAGAGCAGCAATGGGTTGACATTATTTTTTTGCTGGTCCCACATTTGTTCATTCCATCACCACTCCTACTCACACAGCCACAACAATCACCAGCACTGGGAATATAGAAATGAATCCAACACTGTGGGGCTTGAAAAGACATCAGCTCACTTTTCAATATGAAGCTATTTTCAGCTAATCCTCTCTACTCTTTGCTATCCATGCTGGCATGTAACCCACACAGACAGGGGGATCCTTGCTGTAGTTATTGCCAGTGGGCCTGGTGTATACGAACTGACATTCCTGTCAATATTACAGGATTTCTGGAACTTTGTAATTTCTTTCATATCCAACAAAGTACTCAGCATATTCCATATCCAGCTCTTGATTAATCTGGTAGGAACTAAAGGCTTTTGCTATTATAACTTATTGCAAAATTCTATTAAAGAAATCTTCATCAACTTCAGAATGACTGTTAGAACGTTTCATTATCTGTAGATTAAATCTTTGCCACTCACATTCATTTGAACAGAATTTGCATGAGCTCAACAATCTCTCCAAACAGATCACTTTTATTTAGACACCTGAATATGAGTTATAAAGCTCCAGGAAGCAGGGATGGAAAAGAATGAGTGAAACTAATCAGTTCTTTCATGGTAGATCAGACAGTAAAAAAGGAACTACTGACAAGCTCTTCTGTGAGAAGGAAACAGAATTTCTGAAGGCTCAATCAGGCTTACAGCTTCCAAGAGGAGTTCTGCCAACTAACTGCCCTTTGGAAATATTTCAGTATTAACCACGGAGACAGTGGCTCATCACACCTTGTAGTTCTTTGCCCTTGGCAGCTCACAGTAACACTAAATCCTGTTAGCAGTGAAAACTACTGACAAGCTCTTCTGTGAGAAGGAAACAGAATTTCTGAAGGCTCAATCAGGCTTACAGCTTCCAAGAGGAGTTCTGCCAACTAACTGCCCTTTGGAAATATTTCAGTATTAACCACGGAGACAGTGGCTCATCACACCTTGTAGTTCTTTGCCCTTGGCAGCTCACAGTAACACTAAATCCTGTTAGCAGTGAAATCGTTTAACAGCTTATTACTCCTTCCCCTCCCTAAACTCCTCAAACCCCAGAGCCCAACAGAGCTGCACATGGAATGAAGAGGAATCCTCACTAGCAGCCTTGTTTAAAAGGTTAATGAGAGTGAACTCAAGCCAGGACAGGGCAGGCTGTGGGAAGAAGGGCAATTTGCACTGCTGGGGCCCGGCTGTACCCAGGCTGTGGATAATTAGCCACACTCCAAGTCCTGCAAGTCTCTGCTTACCAGCATACTCCTTTCATGGCAAGAAAAGAACTAATTGCTCTGGCAAGCATTTGGTTTTGGAGAAGGTGCACTTTCAGAGAGCCTTAATGAGCAGAAATTCTCAGTTACTCCAGCAAGGCCCACCCAGTAGTGAGATGGATGGATAATCCCGAGTGGAATGCTTTATTCAGGGAAATCAAAGGCTAATTGGCTACTTTTTTAAATGGAAATCTGCTCCAGAATGAATTTTGAAACACATGGCCATTTGCTATGTATAGAGCAAGCAGCAACGAATCACCCAACAAAACCAGTTATCTGTTTGCTTCTGTTTCTCTCTTAAACATTAACATTTCTGGTGGCTTGAATCCTGAGGGATTCCACATGACTTCCTCCTGAAACACTGCACTCAGCCTGCAGAGTGTAAGAAACTCACTTCCTTAAGGATTTTAACAAAAAATCCAACCTATTCTTAGTCTTAACAAGTCCTGTTTGGGAACAGTCCCTTCAATTATTTTGTCACCAAACAGGATCAAAGAAACTTATCCAACACCAATTTTATGCAAATAAGCAGATACTTCTTTACTTAGTGTGCTGGGAACAAGTGGGATCAATCCTCCAAATTTGTTCCCCTGACAACAAATTTGTACAGTTTATATACCCTCTTGTTACATAAGTCCATTCTTTGATTTAGCCTTTACCATGATTGGGTCTATTACTTATATAACTTCATTTTAAGGTGATCATTGGTAGTTTTACATGTCTATTACTTGGAACCCTTAGTACCCAGACCAAGGTGAGACAGGCAGAGGGGGTTTCCGAGCAGCATATCAAAACATGTGTAACTTCTTGGTGAGGTATCTATGGTTGCCTACACAAAGCACAGCATTCCAAACAGTCTTGTATTCCACAGCATCCTTCAGTAAACCTATATTATACTTTTACTCTGTGACTTTTAATCACAGCTATGATATCCTCCTTAATTTCAATGATCTTGCTTATTGCTTACATGAATAACTCTTGATTACTTCTGTAAACAGAATATTGTTACAATTTCAGATACATCATTTGCTGCAAACAGATAGAAACTGAGATAAATGTGTCCGTAGGAACAGACACAGTGCAGATCTCTGACCAGGGCAAAGAAAATGAAACTTCTTCCTAACTAAATTAAAATCATTGCTGACTAAGAAAACTCAGCTGTTGGCATGACTAAATTTTGCGGAGCTCTGGCTAGAGTCATTGAACTGTAGGGTACAGTCTTAATTAAAACAGGAAGACCAGAAAATAACATCTATCTGCTCTGAAAGAGGGAATTAAATTATTCCACTCCCTCCTTTCTCCATGGGATAGAGCAGAGAGGGATTCCCTTTGTTAAGTGTTTATCAGGCAGTCCCAATTGTGCCTAATCACCACCCACAGCTCCTCTTTGCAGGCCCTCTCTAAGCAAGCTGGCAAAGGGCTTTCATACTATTAAGTCCCACTTGAATATTTGGAAGACTTTCATAGCAGCTTTTGTTTGCTTTTTAGTGTCTAGAGTAAATGAGAGCTCGTTTCTCCTGCTCGCTGCACCCCAGAAGCAGCAAAGTGTGGAACTTCATCAAAGCTTTCTACTTCAATCTAATCCCAGCCATCAGAGAAGTTGGAAATGGGAACTGAGGCTGTGGGAGCTCTGCTTATCCTGTTCTGTAAACTCAGGATGGAACAGTTCTACAGCACAAAAATGCACACATGGGTCTGTGCAGGTAAAACAAGGTGTACAACACTGTCCAGGACTAGCCTGAAACGGGAGAGAAGGTGGTGGTCCCATCCTGACACGTTTGGCCAAGTTTGAGCTTAGGCTGAGATTCAGGCAACACCAAGAAGTTTAGGTTTGATGGTGATAAAAAGATAACTAACTTAATCATGAAATCTCAGCTCTAGGAATTATTACTCTCATAAGATTTCCACCATTCATGTAAAGACAAATTTCATTCCATTTCCTGCTGCTTTCACACTACTTTCATCCCTCTGCTCTGCATGTGAAGCAGATACTCAAAGAAAGACATATTTAACTTAAATCCTGCTTGGAAAAATTTTTCTAGAAACAAGTTCCTTATCAAATATTAGAGCTAGAATATCTAAAGCACTGACAGAAAGAATGGTGTAGGTAAATGCTAACACCTGAAAAATAAGGAATTAATTAATTAAAAAGAAAAAAGGAAACCACTAAAAGCCCTAGTTGGGAGTGACAACTGCTGTGTCCCCTGTCCCCTTGGAAAGAAACACTTTTGTAGGGACAAGAGATTCTGGGTGTGTAGGAAGGTCTGAACTGAGCCAACTGGGCCTCTGGGTAGGTGAGTTTTGTGCCATGCATGGACAGAAACCACTTGACAGAAAAAACCAAACAATCAAGGGGTTGGCAGGAGAGAGACAGGTTATTATTTTACTGCTGTTTAGTCTTGGAATGCAGTAATGTGTTTGAAATAGATTTGTCTTAATTTTGACTTACTCTTAGAAGAACCTATTTAACCTCTCCAAGGGATTGTTTTGGTGGAGCTTAAGGTACCCCCAGCAGTCTTGGGTTTGAGCCCAAGTATTTTCCTGCAGCTAAATGGAGTTATTTGCAGATGGAAGTGCTGGCAACAAACAAAAAACAGTAACTGTGTTGTAAAGCACCAATGCATGGAGCAGATGTTTTTACCTCTAATGAGACAAAAGGAGTATCTTGCACCTGTAGAGAGATCTGTTCCCCATCTATGGTGAACTTTCTTGAATATAAAGCACCTGGTGAAAAAGTAAGATTGTTAGATTCAGGGTCTGTAACAGAGAAGAAAGAGTACAGAAAGGCAAAAATGGAACAGTTGAAATTCAGATTTTGGAGGCTTAGAGTATGTAGCTGCTTATAGAAAAGTGAATGGCTCCAGAGTAGTCGTGTGGCTGTTTGCTGTGGGTTTGTGGGTGGAAAGTGGGTTTGTGTTTGCTGTGTGGTGGGAGGTTTTGAGTGTAGAGCCAGGATGGGGTCTGGGAAAGGGACACTCTGTGTGGAATCACATACTTGGAGTAAATCCCATTCAGGTTTTCAATCCATCTTGTTAACATTATAGAAAGTGGACTACATGTATTTTAATCTCAAACCAAAATATCCAGGTGTTGTCGGTAAGAGGAGTGAGCGGTTTCCTACTACATCTTTCTGAATGTCTTTAAAAAAGGAAGGTGATCTAGTTTTGGACACAGAGAGTGACTGTATACAAATCACCCAGAAACTCTTTGGGATTTGCATGATTTTAGCAGAGTTTGGTTGAAATCCCCAAAGACACTTTGAACCTGACTTCTGGTTAAAACTGGATGAGACATATCCAGGGCCAAGTGCCAGTTCAGACCATCTAGGACTGATCTAGCTAAAAAAAAACCCAACACTATTCTGGGCTTGAACTTTCTTTTGTTACTGGAGTGTGAGTTAAGTGACAATGAAAATTTAAGTCTTGATCTTATGAACTTTGTGATAAAAACAGCTTCAGAGGCTGATGTCATCATCACTTTTCTTTAGAACTTCATACAAGTCACGTGGATATGTGAAGAAATGCTTTATCCACAGCTGTGGTGAACAGCCTTTCTGTCTTGTCCAAACACAATTGCCATTGCTGCCTCTAAAACAATGTGCTGCATCTAAAACAGAGAAATCCCATCTACTGGAGTAAGGAATTCAGATTAACAGCTAGTCACAGTAATGCCATCATTCAAGGAAACAAATGTTTTTATTCCAGTGGAAAAGAGTCTGAGCTCACAGAAACATTTACAATACAAGGGAATTTAGCATCTGAATCAAACATTATCATACTGTGTTCTAATAGAGACTCTACGAGGGGACCTAGCCCTGCTGGGATTTATTTTAGTTTTTAAAACCAATCAGATTTTAAACTGAAAAGATGGGACTGTTTTATGGGAAGGTACTGTGCCCCTGAACCAAGAGCAGACAACATTCCTACTCCATGATGCACTGCAGAACACAGAGCAGGTACTTGCAGACACGGCCCACGCGCTGCCTGATACCCAATGGAAGGAGAAGCATGGTTGAATGATCACAAATACACTGCCACCTGTTTCTCATTTCTGGCATATTTAGTTCTTCTACAGCATGGCTGTTGGGCTGGTAGCTTAATGAGAAAAGCACGTGGTTCCCAGCACTGGCTCTGGCAGCAAACCATTGCAAAGCTCCCAAGTCTAACTTGATGTACAATCTCCCATAGAAGAGATGACAGAAAAGAACGAGAAATAGTGCAGCCAACCATCAAGGTTACTTAGGGTCAGTCAGGGCGAGCTGGAACAAGGAGCTTTCAGACTGTATTTCATCAGACAGGCAGAAATCAAAGGTGTCTTGTACTGCCATCTCCCTTCCTACTCCTCATCCTGAATTCCACATGAATCTCCAAAGGGAAGCAATCACTGCTTTGAATACCATCCACCTTTACCCCAAAACTGTGAGGTGACCTATGTGTGGAGTGTGCTAGTAGGTATGAACAGAGTGTATATGGATCCATCCTACACCACTGGCCAAATCAGTTGGCACCTTTTTGGACCAGAGGCTGTGAATGAAACAGCTGACCGGAACACACGATTGCTTTGTTTATTTTATGGAAAGGAGACTTCAATTTGGAAGTCTCCCTGGCCATAACAGCCACTGAAAATTGGGAACATGCAGTAAAAGTTTTGAACTGCCTTTTCCTCCCTTTGGAATTCATCTGGCTTCCCTGGGGTTGCAGGGAGAGCAGCATTTGGGTTTCCGTGGTTTAGTAGAAATGCAAGTTGTTCCTTGAGTCTGTGTTTTAGTATAGGTATGTCTCCAAGCAAACCTTTTACTCTGATCCTTTTCCATCAAGTTGGGGAAAAAATAGCTGAAAGGATCATAAATAATGAGCCTTTGATTTATTGCTTTCATAGCTTGAGGCTATTAACTGAAAATATGCACCTTATGGACATCTAACACCGCCTGGCTTTCCTGCAACGTGCACCAGTCATAAAATAGAGTGGATTTATTTTCAAGCTATCTGCAGTCCTGCTGGGGAAAGCAGACTCACCAGTGTTGGCTTCATAGTCTCCAATAAATCTCTTAGTGAGGAAGCGCACGACCAGGGCTGGAAAACAATGACAAAAATATGGGGCGTTAATGCAAACCAAAACCAATCTTTGGAGAACACATGTAATATCTTCCTGGAAGAATTAGTCTCATATGCAACCAAGTTAATCTTTGGATTGCTCACAAATTAGTCTGCAAATGCTTCTCTCAACACTCACAGAAAGAGATCTGGGGCCAGGCTGTGATACCTAATACAGAGTCATTCACAGCTTGTGTTGGAAATGAGCCCTGAGATCCAATGTGGCTGTTCAGCACAGGACACGGAGGTTGTTGCATTGTGACTGCAAGTATAACAATCTGACCTTTGCTCTGAAGTCATTTAGAAAAAGACTAACAAACCAGAAAACTGAAACTAATCTAAATACATTTAAGACCTGTCATGTAAGAAGTGAGGCTGATGGAACCTTAAAAACCTTCATGAAACCCATTAGTGATATCTAATCCCATCCAGCAGACAAACTGCATGTGCTCTGCACACATGGGTCATGCTGCAGCACCCTGGGCCTTCTTACTCACCTTAACCTGGGCTGATGTCTTAAACTCTTAGATTAGAACATTTTTTTTTTCTTGATATTTTATAACACTTAAAAACCCCACTGTGGCAACAGTAACTTATATTCCTGTAGTGCTTTCATCTCAGCAGATTCCTAGTAACTTTCAAAATCACTTAATAGATAAACAAAACAGTTTATTCTCCAAACAACTCATAGATTTCATTAAAAACAGTAATTTTTCTCACTGTGGATTCCAGGTCACCCTTTAATACCCTTAAATGAAATTGCCTGTGCACCTATCTTAAACTACTGAACAATACAAAGATGTGGCTGCTTCAAATCCAAAAGAAGCAAATATTTTGCTGAAACCTGTGGAGCCTCAGATGGAATAAATCAGATCTGATCTTAATAATTTCTGAAATCATGAGCCATAAATTCAAAAGCAACAATGCTCCCTTTACCTCTTTTCTTCTCCTCTCCTGTGGAGAATAATACAGGAAGACACATCCTGTATGTCATTATTTGTCTGCAGAGCATAAAACATTTACAACAGGAGGATAAAAGCCACTAGTCCCATTATTGGGGTGTGGAAACTTAGACACAGTTAAATAATTTGCACAAGACCAGGTAGAATCATTTGTGAGTGCAGAGCTCCCAGCACAGTGCCCTCTCCTCTCAGCTGCCTCTTCACGCTGGCTGCTCACACACCCCTACACCAAACGTGCCTCACACACTACTCTGCGCCTTCAAAAAAAAACCCCAACAAAACTAAAAACACCCCAAAACGTCACTTAAAATGTTCAAGATGCAACGAATTTTGCAGTCTTGGGTCTATCGGAGCTGTAAACGAGCTCGTGAGCTGCAAATGAGCTGCAAGAAAAAGCAGGTCCACACCTGTGGACTTACCTGTCTTGCCAACGCTGCTGCCTCCCAGTACCACGAGCTTGATGATTTTGTTGGGCACACAGTCCAGCACGGGGTACTCTGGTATGGGGAGCAAGAGAAAGTTAGTGGAATACTGTGACATAGTATCCTGAGAGATGAGAAGCATGCCAGAAATGAGAGTTCTTCAGCTCGGGCTGGGGGAGAAAAGAAGGAAAACGGCTTCCCGGCGCCTGTTCTTGGCTGTGCTTCCTCGGAGACAGAAGCCCTCTCGTCTCATTGAAAAAGTCTTCCCGAGGAACGTTAGAGCGCTTGGCCTCCTCTTCCCAATGCCTCCGCTCAGACAGCAACTTTGGAAAGCAAAAGGGAACTTTTTGATCAGCCCCCGTGAAAACTGACTCCTCCATTCCGCAGCCAATCACAAGGGAAACCCTGACATTCCTGCAGCCGGGCACCGAGGGAGCCTGTGCCTCCATCCGCCGCTTTATCGCTCCCCGCTGCCTGCTTTATGTGCTGTCCCTTGGCTCTGCTCAAACGCGATTCTGCTGGTTTACAGCCATCACGGGAGTGTTTCCAGCGCCATACAGTCACCCCACGCTCTGCTCTAATTCCACTTTGAATGATCCGGTTCTGCCTGTCTAGTCTCTTTGCATTTTCAATTGGCTCCAGCTCCGTGCTCTGTTGTTCTCCCTATCCTATTGTGTCCTGCAGTTGGGCCCCTTTAGAGTGCTGAAGCTGATGGGACACTCCTCTTCAGGAAAACAAACATTTTCCCCCCCTCATAGTTTTCAGGCAGCTGTGAGTTATCCCAAAATACCATCTGACATATCTATCCTCCAGGATACATTTGATTTGCTGGTTTATACATGTTTTTAGTCTCAGTGGCCTGCTGGAACGTGGGTTAGCATTGGGTTGGGATGCTGCACTTTCTCCAACCACGGAAAAGTAAATTTAGGGCTGGTGATGGTCTTGGGAAGCTGAGGAAGGACTCGGTGGGACAAGTGAGACAAAGGGGATGAAGAAAGAATGACTTCTATAGGAAAACTGAGTGTAGTTTAAGACAGCTGGTGGCTGCAAGGTCTGTTGGGATGACAGCATGTAATTGTACACTAGCTACAATCAACTCTTAGTTCTTAAGGAAAATGGGGAGGGAAGAAAAAGGGAAGAACACTGGGGAGGGAATGACCCAGATAAAGCAAAACTGCAAATAATATAAAACAGATGTAAATTGAACTACGGAAAATATAGTTGGAGCATTTGTCTTTGAAAAACTTCTCACAGGGGCAGGAGCAGCAGTGGCAGGACTGGTACAGGCAGCTGACTTCTGAGACATGAACTCTGTCACGTTGTGTGGGAGACATGGATATGAACAGAGAGTGGCACCACAAGGTAATCCACACACGGAGACCTGAGGGTGCAGATTTTTCCTGTCCTCTGTACACCCCTGGCAGGCAGAAGGTAGGCTTGGCTCAATATGGAGAGGCTGCAGCCACCAAAAAAAGTGCCTTTTTGTGCCTAAATGCATTCATGCCACTGCTTTCCTGCACAGCACACCCCTGAGCTCTCCCCGTTAGGGTCTGGAGGCAGGGCAGGGGCTTTGAGCCTGGAGTGGAAAATCAGGGCAGGTCTGAAGGCACTGCCCCTTCCCTTATGGCACTACAGGCCATAAGCTCAGTTTCCATCACAGTGCATGTGCTGAGCATGAACTGCCCTTAGAAGAATCCAGCCTTGGGGCACAGCAGTCCAGTGAAAACAGCACAAGATTCCAAAGATTTATAGGCATGTCACTTTTCTAAGGTTCTGTTTCCCCTCTAAAAACTACTTCTGCAGCAGTATTTGTGCAGTGGTGCTGTGTAAGCACTGAGTATTGTTGCCCTGATCATCATGACAGTCAGCTGATGAAGAGGTGGAACAAAGTGCCTGGAGGCCTACACAGCTCATGGTACTGGGTGGGAGCTGCCAGATCATGTGTCTTTTTGGGACATAGCTCCTATGGGAATGGTTTTCCAATCTTTCAGTGTAAATTTGCTTCCAGATTTTTGCAAACACCCGAACACTGAAGAAATCTTTTCCAGGAAATTTCATTACCAGGGTGCTTTAATCTCAAAAAAGTTTTTTAAGAACAGGCAGAATGAAAGGAGGAATAGGAAAAAGCTCAAGATTTTGTGGTCAGTTAATAGGGCACTTTGAAATGTGTTATTGAGCTGGACATGTTATAAATTTGGGGATTAGCTAGCAGTAGTATATAACTGTCTGCCTCTCTCAGTGAAAGCTGTTGGAACCTTTGTTACATTTTGCTATTAAAAGCATATGTTAGTGAGTAATAGAAAAGTATTCATCACAATAGTCCTCCTACAAAAACCAAACAGTAATATATCTATCAGTTTCTAGGTGGCCAGAAGAGTTTCAGCCCAGGAGTAAAGCCAAAGAAGTTAAGCAAGATCATGGATAATATTCTATATCAGCAAAGGCATTCCTAGAAGAAAACAGATCTGCTGGCTTGCTCCAACAGGGAGGTACACATCCATAGTATAGTATGTTAGGGGTTGGAATGGACCTTAGAGATCATCTACTTCCAAACCCCCTGTCCTGGGCAGGGACACCTCCCATCAAACCACATTGCTCAAGGCTTTATCCAACCTGGCTTTGAACACTGCCAGGGTTGGGGTAGCCACAACCTCCCTGGTCATCTGTGTCAGTGTCTCACCACCCTCACAGGAAAAAACTTCTTCCTAATACCTCATCTACATTTCCCCTCTCTCAATTTGTACCCGTTACTCCTTGTCCTATCACTGCACTTCCTAAAAAAAAGTCCCTCTTCAGCTTCCCTGTTCAGATCCTGGCAGGTTGCTCTGAGGTCTCCACACAACCTTCTCTTGACACCAGGCTGAACAGCCCCAACTTTCTCAGCCTGTCTTGGTAGGGAAGGTGCTGCAGTCCTCTTATCAGCTTCATAGCCTCCTCTGGACTTGCTCCAACAGTTCAACTGAAACAAAAGTTAAAGTCCTTTTGGGTAGCCAAATGTGCCAGTGCTGAGGAACTCCCGAAGGATCTCACAAAAGTGAGCCACTGGGAGTCACATAAAGCTGGAGGGTGAGTTTTAGCCTAGATAAATGTAAAGTAATGAATGGAAGAAAAAAGAATGTGAACTATTCTAAAATGATGCTGAACTGGATGTGGCACTTGTAAATTAGGAGTCACAACCATGGGCATGAAGCAGCTGCTGTGTGAGGAGAGACTGGGAAAGCTGTTTCCCATGTGCTTGTAGGGCTGGATGCTGGTGCTGACACATGAGAGGAGATGTGTGGGGGTAGGAATGAGAAAGCAGTGGTGGAGGAAATGTTGAACTGCTGCTTTGGCAGCTGTGAGAGCTTCTGGTTGCTTAAAACAAATGTGAATGCAGTTCTAGACTGCATCTTGGAAGCAGACCAGTTGATTTCCAGTTCCTTTGCTAATAGGGTTCAATCTAAATTTCTTATACACTAGCCCAGGCTTCTTGCGCTTCCACCCAAAGCTTGTTCCACTGTGTGCAGAAATCTCTGTCCGCAGAGAAGGGTTTTCAGTAAAAATTTAAACAGCCGTGTCTTCTCCAGAAGCTTTAAACCTATTCTTGACCACCTCCGGCCTCAAATCATAAACTTGAGGCACTAATTCTGAAAGAATTTGAGTAAGACATAGAATCACATCCAGAGGTTTTCAAGCCTGATCCTTATCTGACTTCAGAATAGTCTTTTCACTGAGTGGAACCATGCAGAAGGATTCACACTATTTGAGATTGTATAACCCTTGGCGTGTAGAATAACAGTTGTTTTTAAAGGAGATTTTCATTGTTTGTGCACAATGGAATTATATTTAGCTAAGAAAACCATGTTTTAAATTCAAATTCTCTTGGAAAAACAATAGCTTAAATTAGAGGGAGAATGTTTGCACAACTGAGAGCGACTTTTGAAACATTTGGATGATTCTAGACATTTCTCTAACCACTCCTTGGGCCGCTCATGCAAAGCTATGTGCCTTAGAATGTTGCACAGAGATTATGCAATTTCCACCCCAAAATTTTCTACAGATTTATTTACTGCTCTGTGTTGTTTTGGGTTCTGTTTGTTCTAAGATTTTCTATTTATATTGTTGTTGGCCTCCTACACATCTTCAGAGATGAAGCTTTTCTAAAAATAAAAATATTTGCCATTACCATAGTGCTTGTCATAGGAGGATGTCAGATTGCTTTCCAAACTGGTTGTAATTACTCCTCGTGCATTGCACAGAAGGAGGAAGGGATGAGCAGAGACAGAGGGACCTTGCTAAGATCCCAGAGTATTGGAAAAAGGTTCCCCTTCTGCCTAGCACTGGCAAAAAGGATCTTTCCTCTAAAAGTCCATTTGCAACCATTATGTTTGCTTCCAGTACATCTTCTGTACAGTATATTGATGTTAGTAGGACATGGGCTGGAGCTGTATGGCTCATTGCTGAGCAGAAATGTGGCTCTGGGGAAGTGCCAGTTGCTTTGGCAGATGCTGTGATAAAACTCGTGGCTGGTGGCTTGTGTGCACATCCCCCACCCCTGAATTTATTCCAATCAACACCACATAGAGAGTTGCAGCTTTGTCTGACCTTCTTTGCTGCAAACCTGGTTCCCAGAGGCCACTTCTTATACTGCACTAAACAATAGGATTGGTTTAACCACCTTTTTGCTCCCTGTAACAACTCCCTCATAGTTGCAAAAAGGCAAAAGAGGAGGAGATAAGAAAGGAAGGGAATGTAATGTGTTTGAGGAACCAGACTCTCTGTATGCTCAGATTTTCACTTTGCACAGAGCCTGACTGTGTGTAAAATGACTGAAAAACATGGTTGTGCTCCAGCAGTGACCTCAGAATATGTTGTGTGGGGACAAGACCACCAGTTTAGCCCCATAATTGTATCCAGCACCAAGTTGTTCTGATCCTGAGGCCAAAGGAGAAGGAAATGTCCTCAGATGTTATTGTGGCAGTATATAAATCATATTTGAGCCTATTTTGGGCTGTAAGACAGGCAGTCATTTAAAAATATAGTACAAGCTGGTTAAATACTGCACAGACTCCACTATTTCTGTATTTCCTTCCCCTAATTTTGATGCATTGCCTGGCAACCCTGTAAGGAGCACGTGGCCTTTTTCACTTTAAGCATATTTTGTAAGGACTGAGATTTTTAGGTTACTGAATCCTCTCCCTGGGGAGCCTGTAGTAGATGACGTGGAAAGTACAGTGTGTGTAAGAGAACATCGCTGCAGGCAACAACTCAAATAGAATGGAAACATCTTGGCCTCATAAAAGAGTTTGTGCTTTGGAAACTGACCTGTTCTCCCTTCCCCACAGATATTC